TTGCTCTTTCTCTCCCCGTCTCAGGCCTATCTTTTGTTTTAGTCACTTCTGACATGGTTGTAGAGACACAATGGCAAAAATGTAAAACACACACACACACACCAATGGCAATTTAGCAATTATTTTCTAATTTATCTTCAGCTAATATATCTCCATATTCTTCTGTCAGTTTAATAATCCATAATTTGAAGTAATGTTACTTAAAAACATGTGCTATGCATTCCTTTGTAATTCTCACTACAGCGATACATGCTTCAGTGTTATTTGTATTCTCTACTCAACAGAAATTCACAGGATGATAAGACCAGCACTTTCATCTTCCTTGGTATCTCCATCTAGAGCAGTGGAGCTACATTTATTCATACACTATACTGCCTACATGTTAAGAACATAATGCTATATCATCATCTTCATATTTCAATATCACTCCCTGCCTTTCCCTCTATTAATCTAGCTGTGAAGCCCTGTGTCATTTCCCCACACCTATCATACAATTCACTCTCTCTACAGCTGTGATTAAACTATTAAACTCTCCAACAAATCTTTAGTCATAATTATTGCATTTTTAGATATTTATATGAATACTATATTTTCCTTCAATATGATGGGAACCATCTGCTGAATTTGTTAGTTTATGAAGACCCAAACATATTCTCAGTTCACATGCTTGAGTTCCAGTTGTCTCTCCCCATCCCAGATTGACTATACTCCTTGGGCATCTGTTATGACAGGGATCATAGTGTATGTTATCGAAATCTTTTTTTACTTCCTCGTGAAATCAGTCATGATCCCCAAACATTTGCAGCTCTAGCTGTAGTTGGTCCTGTTCTTGTCGGACTTCCCTCACCTGCCACTTTGCCCTCTGTTATGTTTCATGAATTAGCTGACCCATTGACTTTACAGTTAACATTACTAAAGAATTCCATTATTGCTGGCATATCTCCCCAAAAAAATTCATCAAGTTACGAAATTAACAGTGCCCTTCTATCCCAGTGCACTTGCACTGTGTGCTGGCCCAACATGTTTAAACACTGTCCCTCTTCGTCATCCTGAAGTTGTATTTAAAGCGTGGATTGAGGAGTCTTGTTTGATATGACGGGGTCCTCTAGAATTCTTAAACTATTGCAAATGGACATAACCTCCAAGGGTGAAATTCTTGCTAATGACTTATTCAATATGGAACCGAAATACCCGAGGCTAATGAGTTACTTATTCACTAAGAGCAATGCGGCATATGGCTTATCCATGTTGGATAAATTCCAAAAATCAAGCACAGTAATCGGAATCAGTTAAAGCATGTCAATGAGATGCATTACGGAAGACAGCAAAAGATTTAAAGATCGGCTCATAAGAAGTATCTTAGCTCCTAATACAAGAGGATTAAACATCATTGATTACTTATCTCTGTGTAGTGTTGAAGGAACTAATAAATTGCGGATAGCAACATGGGGGTGTGAACTTCATGGAATAACTATGCTATTCATTGCTGAACAATTTGCATTAAGAGAAACAGTACCTGAGCTTGAGTTTGCACAATCAATATTTCGACCGGATAACCACTTGTTTCCAAGGGAGTGAATGGTACGAGGAAAACACCCTCTTTACATTGGCTCATGAACATTCGTGACAATAAACAGAGGTGCAATTATGGGACTACCAGAAGGCCCCATTGGCAAGATGGCAGAAGACTTAATATCAACTTGTGACTGGATTAAAATCAAGGGTGCTGTAGGACAACACTTAGCAAGATTGCTATCTATTTTGTTGAGTGAAAAAGGTGTCCACACCCCTGATCTTCCTGTAATAATGGGTGGCACCCTTACTCACAGGCTCCCAACTGCCTCTGATGATCGACCTGAACTTGCTGGTAGCTTGAACGTTATATCCACACATGTAGGTTTTACCACAAACTACATGACTGACTTTGACAAATCACAAAAAGATTATACCATCCATGTTCAGGATGCTTTCCTACACGGACTTGTTATCTTCCCAATTACACCTCGGAATCCTTGCAAATAAAACTTATTACCTTACACTTGCTTGCACAGGTTACACAAGAGAAATTCAAGAAGACTTGTGGGAAACTGTTTATTGCCTTCACTATCTAAGCATAGAAGACAGAGAATCCCCCGAAGGCTGGGTGCCTTTGAAGCCCTAGCAAAGGTGGGAGCTAGGCGCCACCTCTGTTTGTCCAGACAGTGGTAGCTGAAGCAACTTCCCCATTTATTATTATGTAAATCCTTGCTGATGGGCTAGTCTGCCTGTTGCCAGGGGTCGCCTGCCTAAGGGCTATGCTATGGGTACATCCCAGATCAATAAAAGCTTGGTGAGGCCTGAGCACAGGAGGAAGTCCCTTCCCCTTGAGTTGGACTTGCTCGCCTGGTCCCCCAATATTTCCAAATTATCTCGTGTCTTTTCATTTTCATTTGTGTGCGGCTCCGCTTCAGGTTCCTGAACCCTGATCCACGTGGGACGTGGGAAGGAAACACTCAGCAAAGACTTATTTTCCTTGTCAAGACCTCCCATGTATAAGGGGATTCCAAATAGATCACTTTTCAGCACAATCAAAACCTGAACCCACTAGCTGGTATGGAGACCCGGCTCTTGCAGCAGGCTTTAAGCTAGGAGTAGAAATTTTCATGTCACTATACCAGGAATCCCGTGAGTTAGATTCATTAGTTGACTCGGGCCAATCACCACGACATTTAGAGAGATTTTCTCAGCCTTTTAGCATCTCTACCAGGACACTTAATAATGGTATCTTACTGGTATGCAGGCAGCCTACGAAGAAGTTTGGTTAGACCGGTGTCATCCTACTTAAAGGCAGTCGCATACATACCAACATCCTCTCCTACACTTTGATGGACATGGGATTTCATATTCTCGTTATCAGACAGGAATCAAATATTTGACCTTGCATCAAAAATTGGAATTTTGTCTATGGCCATACTACCCTGAACACGCCCCATCTCGTCTGATCTCAGAAAAATTGGAATTTTAAGCAAGTTGTCTGGTTCACAGGTTGTTGTTTTTGCGTGGCTGGCCTGGAATTCCAGGCTCACACAGCTATATTAAGAGTCCTCCAGCTCTGCAGTCAGTGCGGTGGTTCTCCAGCAGGTCTGAGATCCGAGCCCCAGCCAACCCAGTCACAGCAGACGTTTCTGCAGGATTCCTTTCTGAGCACCTTGAAGATCAGCATCCGGACCCTACCCACACTCCTGGAGCTGGCAGGAAGGAGCCTGCTGGGGGACCAGGCCTCAGCCATCTCAGCTCTGGAGTACTTGCCCGCTGAGCTCTTCCCGCCGCTCTTCATTCAGGCCTACCATAGGAGAATGTGGAAGCCCCTGAAGGCTTTGGTGCACGCCTGGCCCTTCACTGTCCTCCCTCTGGGGAGCCTGATGAGGCTGCCTCTGTTCATGGTCTTACAAGCAGCGTTTGAGGGGCTTGACGTTCTGCTTGCCCAAGAGATTCGCCCCAGGAGGTGGAAACTGCGGGTGCTGGATTTAAGGAACATGAATGTCAACCTCTAAAGATTGTGGCATGGAGACAGCACCCAGAAACGCTCTCAGACAGGACCAGTGGCTGTGCACAGCTCCAGCCCCAACATGGAGCACCCCTTGGCTCCCCTGGAGGTGTTCCTAGACCTTAACTTCAATGACAGGGACAGGGATAAGTTTTTCATGTACATCATCCAATGGGCCCAGCAGAGAAAAGGGTTGGCACACCTGTGCTGCAAGTCGCTGAGGTTTTTTGATGTGCCCTTTGAGAGGGCCAGGAAGGTCCTGGATGCGGGGCAGCTGGACTGCATCCAGGAGGTGGAAGTGGACTACACGTGGGACCTGCCCACCCTGGGGACATTTGCTCTCTACCTGGGTCAGATGAGTAACCTGCAGAGTCTCGCTCTCTGCCACATCAAGGTGTTAGCTGAGGAGGAGGATGAACAGGAGGAGGAGGAGGAGGAAGAGGAAGAAGAGGAAAAGGAGTGGGAAAGGGAGGAGCAGGAAGAACAGCAATACTTTTCCAAGTTCCTCTCTCAGAAGCTCAGGCTGCGGCACCTCAAGAAGCTCTACTTGGAATCTCCTTCCTCTGAGGCCGTCTGGACCAGATGCTTAGGTACCTGCAGACCCCCTTGGACAAACTGTCCATATGGTTTTGCTGGCAGCTGACACATTCAGACCTGACACACCTTTTCCAGTGCCTGAACCTGAGGCAGCTGAAGTCCCTGCGTCTGTATGCCGCCAACCTCACCGATTTTAGTCCCAAACCCCACCCCCATGTGGATAATTCAATGCAGTTTAAGCCCACGTTTTGAATTTGCCTGACAGAGAGGAAATCCGCCACAGTGGAGTGCACGTATTGCCGCCAAGGGCCCCACAGCTGCCACATGCAGATTCGGAAGGACGGGTTCTCCACCAAGTGCAACCTGAGGCACCACCACAGGATACTTTGTGGGAGCCAAGAGGAATTCCGAGCCTGGCTGCGGGAAGAATTGGCGCAGACGCTGGAGCACATTTTCCATGAGGACAGGCTGCGGTGCATCCTGATGAAGCTCATCTACCATCAGAATGACAACTGCCGGAACTACCACCCGGAGGACCTCATCAGGCCAGGCCTCTTCAAAGGCACCCACAATGCCTACAGCCTAGTAGAGGTTGTCATACTCAGCTTCCATGGGAAGCATGCCAGGGTCACGAAAATCACGGTTGACCACCACGTCCCTGCTGGGCAGCAGATGATATAGATCCACCTCAGGCACCGCATGCAGCTGCCCCATGATATCTTCAGCAACTTCAGCAAGTACTCCCGCCTGGCCCAGGAGGTTCACGAGCAGGTGATCCAGGAGCAGCAGCAGCAAGAAGACAGGACTGAGGTCGGCAAGGGCCATGGCTGGCTGAGCCCTGCGCAGCCCAGTGTCGGGGAGTCCGGGGCTGCAGCTTTGGAGGAGCAGCCTGTCCAGGTTGAGCTCAAGTAACCAGAACTACCCCCGATCCTACAGGATGTGTTTCTATGGCATGGACATTGTTGCTCGCTCTGGCTCCGCCTACCCTCAGTGCATCCCTGTGGTCTTCATCCTGTTCGATGAAGACCAATTCGGGTTCCTCTGGCTGCAACCGAATTGCCTCAGCCTGTACAGCAGAGTCCAGGTCACCTTCCAGAATGCAGAGGCACCATCCCCACAGGCTTTCCAGGAGATGCTCAAGAACATTCAGTGCCCACACCCCTGACGGCCCCTTCCTTGCCCAGGGGCAACAGCGGGGAGAAGAGGCTTCAGAGGAAAAGATAGACAATGTTTTCAAAGAATTGAAGGATGTACGTGAAGAAATCCGCGATATTAAAAAACACTTAAACAGTCTAAGCTTATCTTCTTCTGTCGCTACGTGTGCTCCACAAGGCCAAGTTGACCTATCATCATGCTTACGGCCTCAACCAGTTGCACCTGCGCCGATGCCTACAAACACACAGAGCTTTTCCTCATCTTCCCCTGATGCCGGCGATCCTTCTCTCGACGATTACTTTCGCTCATTCTCATAAAGCATCCGTGCATAATGTCTTTGGCATTGAATATAAGAGAACTTAGAAAAACCGTGGAAATGTCATCTGCAGATTTCCCGGAGGTTGATCCATCAGAAACCTTAATTCCGGGATACTTTTCGCTTATCCTTCAGATTACATTACGATATTCACATTACCATATTCAGCTTGCCTTAACAAGCGCAATTAACACGTTTCGTGTTGCGCCCTTACATGCTTCCCTCACTATAGACCTGGAACCTGTCAGTGCTTTCTGTGTGGGCTTATTTTACCGCTGGAGCGACGACACATATATTAGTCTTAAATCAAAATTGGTTGTTCCTCAAAGTTTCCTAAACAAGGGAGGATCACCTTATCTCCAGAAGTCAGCCAACAAATATTCCAAACTCAGTTTGAGATTGAATCATACCACCTTGAAGTTATTGGACCCGGATCTTTTGCCAGCGTAATTCCACCAAGATGACGACTTATCGAATGGATCAAGCTCTGAAATCACCTCTTCTTGGAACTGAAGTTAGGCTTGCTACAAGTGGCAGCAGACTTCAATCCCATAAGAGGGTAACTAACCTGATTTCTTCACTTCATTACTAACACCTTCTAGTGATTACTTTAAATTCTTTCTTTCTCACTTTTCTATCCCCAGATGTCGGAACCACGAGTTGTCGCCAGGAGTTGCCCTCATCTGGTCCGCAGTGGCTTCACCTTAGAGAGCATCTGATGACTTAATTGAAAAGGTTAAGAGGTCTATTCCATGCTTACTCAAAGACAAAGTATTTCTAGATACTTTAGAAAAGCATTTGATCTTTCAAGAAGCTGTCATTAAAGTCTCGTTCTCAGATCAAGAGTATATTAGTACTAAGTTTGGAAACATGACTTGCCACTTCTCACGATCCTTAGTGCTTACCATTGTCGACAACCACTCATGCTTAATGACCTTTAACCATTTCTTAGCAATTGCTGACACCCTTCGTTTGTGGGTGCACTTTCTCGTTGCTGGCTTGGTGGAAGATATGCTTCAAAAATGGCCTGTTAGCATGGCAGAGAAAGTCAAACTGTTTTTGGCTTGCATGAATGAAGCTGCTAAAAGATTGTCGCATGATGAATATTTCAATGCTACTAAGTCGCTTTACCTCACGCAATTGGCTGAGTGTTGCAATTCTATAATAAAGCAGTAACCTCTCTGTTCCATACTATAACCCTTCCAACAGTTCCAGTCTTGCCTCCCCAGCTATTAACAATGCTCTCCGACTTATCAACATTTTATCCTCAAATGGCACTGGAGTTATTCTCCGTATCAAAATGCTTTTTCTTTCCAGAAATTGACATTGTAACTAGAAGCAAGGATCAGTTTACCAGAATGAGGCAAGAGGTAACAGAATCATATAAACTTGGAGAAATTGGAAAAGAGGTTCTTTGTGTTTAGGGCAGAGTATATTAGAGGATCCATTAAGAAACATGCAACTTGGCCTTTAGTAACACTAACAGACCGGTGCAATAACTACATCAGGCAGGCTCGATTGGCCGGTGAGAGGCCTCAACAGGGCCACTGGAAGTACTCAGATTTTTCAGAAGTCCAACTTGAATTTGCAGGTGAAAGGCTTGAGTTTGAGCCAGACCTAAGTGACATCATAACAGATAAAGCAATAATTGAGAGTCGAAATAAGTGGACTTTGGGATATAATACAGAAGCGTATTTCCACAAGCACTGGAAGAGACTTGGCCACTTGGACAGGTCACCAGGGCTGCAGCGGCTCATTTTAGCCCTTTTAAATGGTGAGCTTGATAACACTGAGAAGAAAGTAGAGCCCTTTGTAACAGGGTTCCTTAATGCAGATGATCTTATCACTGTAAGTGATAAGAGGAACTGGGAAAAGTATTGCTGTTCTTGGGCAAAGTATCTCGGAAAAATGGGAATTTTAAGCAAGTTGTCTGGTTCACAGATTGTTGTTTCTGTGTTGCTGGCCAGGAATTCCAGGCTCACACAGCTATCTTAATATCTTGTCACTGTATTGGTGCCAAAAGAAAAGGAGCTCAAGATTAAAGGCAGATACTTTTCAAAGCAATCATGCAGCATTTGATTGTATCAAGTTCTCGCTGAGCTAAATCTGAAGATTATGTCATGTTTAAGAATGCATTCTATGACTACTTCTGCAACGCAGCTCTCACATACTTGATATCAGCTCACATAACAAGAGGTTCATTTGTCATCAACCTGGATTATGAGTTATGGTGCAATGCATTCAGGCCTGAGTTGCAGAGTCCCATGTGTGAAGAACTCGATCACCTTTTTGGGTCTGGATGTTTCTATCAGGTTGGCTCTTGGATGCCTATCCTGACAACATTCATAATGTAGGACCACTTCAATCCTCTTGCTCAGAAAGAGAATGGTTTGCCAATGGAGGATGGTGAGACATGTGTACAAGGTGCTGTCACAATGGGAGAAGGAATGCATCAGAAGTTGTGGACAATCATCACGGCATGCCTTGAACTACTTGTCTTAGAGGAATTACACCTAAAAGGGGAGATTATGGGCAGGGTGATAAACTATAGTTATATCAACTCCTACATACAGTTCTAAGAACACAACTAAGGACGTTCTTCTTAACAGACTAATGACCAAAAGCAAGGAGGCAGGCTTAACCCTCAAGCCAGATGAGTGTTGGGCAAGTGATGTGTTGTATGAGTATGGAAAGAAGCTTTATTTCAAGGGTGTACCTGTTCCAAATTTTCTGAAGATTTTTTCAGCACCAGAGAAGTATAGCCAAACATATACTCTATGTTGACATGCTTGAGTTCCAGTTGTCTCTCCGCATCCCAGGTTGACTATACTCCTTGGGCATCTGTTATCACAGGGATCATAGTGTATGTTATCGAAATCTTTATTTTATTTCTGTAAAATCAGTCATGATCCCCAAACATTTGCAGCTCTAGCTGTAGTTGGTCCCATTCTTGTCGGACTTCCCTCACCTGCCACTTTGCCCTCTGTTATGTTTCATGAATTAGCTGACCCATTGACTTTACAGTTAACATTACTAAAGAATTCCATTATTGCTGGCATATCTCCCCAAAAAAATTCATCAAGTTACGAAATTAACAGTGCCCTTGTATCCCAGTGCACTTGCACTGTTTGCTGACCCAACATGTTTAAACATTGTCCCTCTTCGTCGTCCTGAAGTTGGACTTAAAGCGTGAATTGAGGAGTCCTTGTTTGATATGACGGGGTCCTCTAGAATTCTTAAACTATTGCAAATGGACATAACCTCCAAGGGTGAAATGCTTGCTAATGAATTATTCAATATGGAACCGAAATACCCGAGACTATTGAGTTACATATTCACTAAGAGCAATGCGGCATATGGCTTATTCACGTTGGATAAATTCCAAAAATCAAGCACAGTAATCGGAATCAGTCAAAGCATGTCCATGAGATCCATTACGGAAGGAAGCAAAAGATTTAAAGATCAGCTCATAAGAAGTATCTTAGCTCCTAATACAAGAGGATTAAACATCATTGATTACTTAACTCTGTGTAGTGTTGAAGGAGCTAATAAATTGCGGATAGCAACATGGGGGTGTAAACTTCATGGAGTAACTATGCCATTCATTGCTGAACAATTTGCATTAAGAGAAACAGTACCTGAGCTTGAGGTTGCACAATCAATATTTCGACCGGATAACCACTTGTTTCCAAGGGAGTGGATGGTTCGAGGAAAACACCCTCTTTACATTGGCTCACGAACATTTGTGACAATAAACAGAGGTGCAATTACGGGACTACCAGAAGGCCCCATTGGCAAGATGGCAGAAGACTTAATATCAACTTGTGACTGGATTAAAATCAAGGGTGCTGGAGGACAACACTTAGCAAGATTGCTATCTATTTTGTTGAGTGAAAAAGGTGTCCACACCCCTGATCTTCCTGTAATAATGGGTGGCACCCTTACTCACAGGCTCCCAACTGCCTCTGATGATCGACCTGAACTTGCTGGTAGCTTGAACGTTATATCCACACATGTAGGTTTTACCACAAACTACATGACTGACTTTGACAAATCACAAAAAGATTATACCATCCATGTTCAGGATGCTTTCCTACACGAACTTAACTTGTTATCTTCCCAATTACACCTCGGAATCCTTGCAAATAAAACTTATTACCTTACACTTGCGTGCACAGGTTACACAAGAGAAATTCAAGAAGACTTCTTTTCCTTGTCAAGACCTCCCATGTATAAGGGGATTCCAAATAGATCACTTTTCAGCACAATCAAAACCTGAACCCACTAGCTGGTATGGAGACCCGGCTCTTGCAGCAGGCTTTAAGCTAGGAGTAGAAATTTTCATGTCACTATACCAGGAATCCCGTGAGTTAGATTCATTAGTTGACTCGGGCCAATCACCACGACATTTAGAGAGATTTTCTCTGAGCCATTTAGCATCTCTACCAGGCCACCTAATAATGGTATCTTTCTGGTATGCAGGCAACCTACGAAGAAGTTTGGTTAGACCGGTGTCATTCTACTTAAAGGCAGTCACAAACATACCAACATCCTCTCCTACACTTTGATGGACATGCGATTTCATATTCTCGTTATCAGACGTCTACTTAAAGGCAGTCACAAACATACCAACATCCTCTCCTACACTTTGATGGACATGGGATTTCATATTCTCGTTATCAGACAGGAATCAAATATTTGACCTTGCATCAAAAATTGGAATTTTGTCTATGGCCATACTACCCTGAACACGCCCCATCTCGTCTGATCTCAGAAAAATTAGAATTTTAAGCAAGTTGTCTGGTTCACAGGTTGTTGTTTTTGCGTGGCTGGCCTGGAATTCCAGGCTCACACAGCTATATTAAGAGTCCTCCAGCTCTGCAGTCAGTGCGGTGGTTCTCCAGCAGGTCTGAGATCCGAGCCCCAGCCAACCCAGTCACAGCAGACGTTTCTGCAGGATTCCTTTCTGAGCACCTTGAAGATCAGCATCCGGACCCTACCCACACTCCTGGAGCTGGCAGGAAGGAGCCTGCTGGGGGACCAGGCCTCAGCCATCTCAGCTCTGGAGTACTTGCCCGCTGAGCTCTTCCCGCCGCTCTTCATTCAGGCCTACCATAGGAGAATGTGGAAGCCCCTGAAGGCTTTGGTGCACGCCTGGCCCTTCACTGTCCTCCCTCTGGGGAGCCTGATGAGGCTGCCTCTGTTCATGGTCTTACAAGCAGCGTTTGAGGGGCTTGACGTTCTGCTTGCCCAAGAGATTCGCCCCAGGAGGTGGAAACTGCGGGTGCTGGATTTAAGGAACATGAATGTCAACCTCTGGAGATTGTGGTGTGGAGACAGCTCCCAGAAGTGCGCTCAGACAGGACCAGTGGCTGTGCACAGCTCCAGCCCCAACATGGAGCACCCCTTGGCTCCCTTGGAGGTGTTCCTAGACCTTAACTTCAATGACAGGGACAGGGATAAGTTTTTCATGTACATCATCCAATGGGCCCAGCAGAGAAAAGGGTTGGCACACCTGTGCTGCAAGTCGCTGAGGTTTTTGATGTGCCCTTTGAGAGGGCCAGGAAGGTCCTGGATGCGGTGCAGCTGGACTGCATCCAGGAGGTGGAAGTGGACTACACGTGGGACCTGCCCACCCTGGGGACATTTGCTCTCTACCTGGGTCAGATGAGTAACCTGCAGAGTCTCGCTCTCTGCCACATCAAGGTGTTAGCTGAGGATGACGAGGAGGTGGAAGAGGAAGAGGAGTGGGAAAGGGAGGAGCAGGAAGAACAGCAATACTTTTCCCAGTTCCTCTCTCAGATGCTCAGGCTGCGGCACCTCAAGAAGCTCTACTTGGAATCTCCCTCCTTCCTCCGAAGCTGTCTGGACCAGATGCTTAGGTACCTGCAGACCCCCTTGGACAAACTCTCCATATGGCTTTGCTGGCGGCTGACACATTCAGACCTGACATACCTGTTCCAGTGCCCGAACCTGAGGCAGCTGAAGTCCCTGCATCTGTATGCCGCCAACCTCACCGATTTTAGTCCCGAAACCCTCCAAGCTCTGCTGGAGGCAGTGACACCCACTCTCCAGGACCTGCGCCTGGATAACTGTGCGATGGTGGACTCCCAAGTCGAGGCCATCCTGCCTGTCCTGAGCCGCTGTCACCAGCTCAGGGACTTCACCATCTCCGAGAACCACCTCTCCATGGCACCGTAAAGAAGCTGCTGCGCCACACAGCCGGGCTGCGCAGTTTAGAGCTCCAGCTGTACGCCGTCCCCCTGGAGTGTTACAGGATCCAAGAGACTGTGGGCCAGGAGAGAGTTGCCCTGATCCGGGCTGAGCTCACGGAGACACTGAGGGAGTTAGGACAGCCCAGGACCATCCGTCTTGACACCAAGTACTTTACTTCTAGTGCATTTTATCTCATGGCATTTTCATGATATGGAACCCGTGATGTGCCCCTGTAGTGACCCTGCTCACCAGGTGCACCTAACAAGGGCTTCCTTCTGGGCCCCTGGAACCTGAAACCTCGGACTGGGGTGCAGGTTGCATGCTGTTCTGAGTAGCATGATGAAATCATCCCTTCGTCCAGCATACCCACGCTGTGTCAATTCCCTTCCTGTTAGGCATTCAGTAGCTGTCTCGGTTGTTTGACCAACAAATCACTTTTATTTTACTTCATAATAGCCCTAAAGTGCAGGAGCAGTGGAGCTGCAACTCTACTTCACACTTGTGTTAGGAAATTTAGTTTTTATCAGAAATAAGAAGGGCTGCAGACAATAGCAGCTGCTTCTGGTCCTTGTCTCTCCACACTTCCTTCAAACTAATACAGAATAAGAGCACATGGGACTACACCCTGAAAATAACTTGAGGAAAGACAATCCCAACCCTGACAGTTATTTTAAAAACATCAAATGTGGCTATATTAGACCTCTAAACCCAGTAGGAACACAGACAACATTCAGGAACTCGGAAGCATTCTATTTCTACAAGGCATTATGGCCAAAAAGCCAAGGGCTGCTCGCCAATACCGCACAACCTTTAGTCCAGAACACCTGAGAATTACTGAAAGATACATTTTAAAAGACAATGTACCCACATTTTTTTAATCCTCACCCGAGGATATTTTTCCAGTGATTTTTGGAGAGAGTAAAAGGGAAGGAGAGAGACACAGATAGAGGAACATCTATGTGAGAGAGACATCAATTGGTTGCCTCCTGCATGTGCCCTGGTTCAAACTTGCAACCCAGGCACGTGCCTTTGAGTGGAATCCAACCCAGGATCCTTCAGTTCATGAGCTGATGCTCTATCCACTGAGACAAACAGGCTAGGCGAGAAAATCTACCTTTCATCACTGCCCACAGTGTCTATCCTCTGAATCTCCTGAGCCAAATGTCAGTATGAAGGACAGTCATCGGCACCTTTGGAGGAAGCAGAATCAGCTAGTTTTCCTTGGTTCCTAGCCTCTCCCAGTTAGCTTAGCACCATGAAAGCACCCCAGCTATCGTCAATACCATTTAAAAATTCCTGTTCCCCAATAACCATCATTATTTCTTACACAAAAGAAAGAAAAACATTTTTGAGTATAACATCAGCAAGTTTGGTGGACTAGAAGGTCCCAGCACTTGTACTTCCAGGAAACAATGATCACCAGTACTTGCTGATGAAAATAGCTCAGAGAGCTCTGGAGTGCAATGCAGGAGCTACTGCTATCCAGTGGAACACAGATATCAAAGATGGCCACATAGGAAATCATAGGCAACATTTCCCTGTGTCAGCCCGCCCCCCCTCCCCCAGTCCCATATGGCTTGTGATCAACAGGGATCCCCTCGGCTGTAACCTCCCATTTTGGAAGAAAAGAACTGAAGACCCTAGCTAACTTCACCATCAACAACCCAAGCAGGCCTCCTGGCTGTTAGGAACCCCAAAGCTATTGCCACTAAAGGCTCCCTCAGTCTTAGCCTATGCTAATCACAGCTGATGAACCTGCCCAGAATTTATGCCACTGATCAACCAAGAGAAGGAGTCCATGCTCAGACCCCTCACCACAGTTGCCCTCAATGGTGAGATATGAGTAGAATGGACATTGATTGGGTTCAAGCAAAGATTTGAATACAGTACTACCCTAGGTTGTGTGGGTCAAAAGGGTCCCCAACTGATCCCCCAAACAAGACTGCTCTATTTATCCTTGTTCAAAGATTATAATGAGAAATCTAACCTGCAATTGCTTTGAGCAATGTCTAGGCAGATGAATCAAGATGAAGGCTGACAAAAAAAAAAAAAAAACCCACAGTCCCTTGACTCAACCCCTCACTGAGGACCCTAACCCTTTGCAACAGATTGGGTAAAATGTTCATGAGCTAGAGAAGTTTCTGGACTCCTTGACATGGGAGCCTCACAGACTGCGGTACCAAAACCCATTTGTGAAGCCCTGGTTTGGGCAGAGTTAGATGGAGAGAACATCAAGGCTGCTCTCCCAACAACAGGTTTGATGGGATTATGAATGTGGGATGTTTAAGCAGGCCTGTTCAAATCATTTGTGCCTTTTTTACCTGACTGTTTCATGGGAATGGATATTCTGTTGGTCAGAAGAATGCTTACCCTACCAAGTGCTGTAAAACCAAAAATTGTTAATAAAGTCAGAATGGAGGCTGTGGGGGAAAAAATCATCAGAAAGCTACTGTACAGCAAGCCTCCACTATGACCAAGAGTAGGCGCAGAGAAACATGGAGGAAAGAAAACAGGTCGAGCCCAAGGTTGATATCAAACCAGCACCAGAAAGTGCAAGTCCACCTCAGTGTGACAGACCTAAGTGGTCTGGCTATTCAGAGCACAGTCCACGGTGTACATGATGTGAAGGGTCATTCTTTAAAAAGGTCTACTTTCCAGAGGGCAAGATGGCAAAGAGGAAGGAGGGGCACTGTTTGGCAATTGATTTTTTTCATTCATCACATCAGACTAAGGCATCCATTTCACAGAGAAGGTGCAAGCATCAGCCATGGAATGGAATGTGCTGATTGCATCTGATGCTCCATCGCTAGTCAGCTGATGGCTCAGTGAATTTGATGCTTCAAACACGACTTTGGCTGGCCTTCTCAGAGGCAATGCTCTAAGGATGGGATGCCATCCTCCAGGATTAAGGGTGCATTTCTTATTCCAGTACTTGTACACGGCACTGTGACAGTAATCAGAAGAATGCCTGGAACCAAGGGGCACACGCAGGAGGAGCTCCACTTGCCGTCACTCCCCCAAAGCCACTCTAGGAACGTGTGCTTTCCATTCATGCACCTGTAGGGACCAGGAGCTCTCCTCCTGATGAGCCCAGGTGAATACTCCTTCCAGGAGACATTTGGGGTTCCTTGTATCTAGGTACCAGTAGTCAAGAAGAGTCACAATCTTGTCATAGGAATTTGATCAGCAAGAAAATGTAGGGCTATTGCTCTTGCTTCAACTTTGTGGACGGCACAGACCCAGGGATGGCCCTTCTTCCAGCCTCCAACCACCCTCCAACCTCTTTTCCAGTCACCACCTTCAGAAACGCCACAGCTATCCTCAACCTCTGAGACCAGCCAATACTGTTTTTCTCCTTAGCTTCTTATTGTGGAACAACCATGAGATCCCAAATTCTCCAGAATTATTCCACCAAGGTGGAGGCTGCTGTCAACTGCCTAGTCAGCCTGCATCTGTGGGTCTCCTACCTGTCTCTGGGCTTCTATTTAGGCTCAACTATGTGGCTCTGGAGAGTGTTGGCTGAGGATAAGTACAAGGGAACCAGGTGTCTTTAAAGATGCAAAATCAGCAGGCGGACACACCCTCCTCCAGGACAGGTAGAAGCCCTCCTAAGAGGAGTGTGGTAAAACCCAAGATGCCATGGAAGCCACTGTAGTCCTAGAGAAGAACCTGACCCTTGGATCTGCGTGCCCTGGTTCTCCCCACATAGACTGTCAGCTCTGTGACTTCCGGGAGAGCCACTTCCTGGGTGAGCAGGTGAAACTCATCAAGAAGATGAGGGTGACATCTGATCCGCCTCCACAGGCTAGCCAGCCCCCAGGGCAGAAATCTCCCATGTCCTCCTGTCCCAAACATTGTGGGTCCTCTTTTCCCCTTGTCCTTCTGGCATGGACAAGGATTTCAGGGATCACTATGCCCTAACTTATGCCCTGAGAGAAACATCTGGTTGACGGACCATACCTGCAGGTTTCAGAGTGAGTCAACAGAGTGGCCAATGTTGGAAATTGGGGGGTGTGCAGGGGGAGTGTTTTTGTACAAGTAACTATACTTTTCTAAGTTTGAGAATTCAAGTCTCCACCAATTTCCTGAGTGTTGTCACAAGTTATTCAAGGACAGCTATTAGCAACGAGGTGGTTATGGTTCAGAGTAGTCAATTGGTGCCACTTCTTGGGATACATGTCACAGTGGCATCAATAGGACAAATGTGTTTCCCACTCAGCATCTGCCCAGCTGGCCCACTCACTGGGCAGGAGCATGGGCTCTGGGACGGGCACCTTGCTCATCAGCATGATCTATGAAGAGTATCCCAACTGCATCATGACCACCCACAATGTGGTTATCTTCACCCAAAGTGTTCGACACTGTGGTTGAGCCCTACAGCACCACCCTCTCTGTCCACCAGTTGGTGGAGAATATGAGTATTTGGGGTGCCTTCTGGCACCACCTGCTGGCCGTGGGGCATCACAGCAGCAGACTGTGGAAGTTGAACATTTGGGTCCTGACCCCACCCTGGAGATCCTGGCACCCTGACCATCGGACCTTAATCTCCACAGCTGAACGGATCCTTCCAGGAAAGGCACACAGACCTCCCCCCATTCCCAGGGAAAAGGGGAACTGAAGTTGAGTTGTGAGAACGAGGCAGTGTGGCCACACAGGGGCAGCAGGAGGAGCAGGCTCGGGCTCTGGCTGCTCATGATGTAAGGGGCGCACTTCACGTACCCCCATCATAGCTGGGGCGCCTCTGTCCTGGCTGGTGAAGGAAATACTACAGAGGAGCAGCCTTGTGGAACTAAATCGCCTACAATAAGGGGCCAGGGAGGCCGATGCTCCAGGGTGGAGCCTCAGGCTCCCGATCGGCCCTCAGAGAAGGCCCTGAAGGCACCCAGCACTGCCTCCGCTGAGCAGGTTTCTCTGGGTGAATTCCATGCTCAGAGGCCACCGAGTCTCAGTGGGGTCAACCTCTGGAGGCTCTGCACACTGGGTCACATGGACAGCAGCTCTCTGCTCCCCTCCCGTGCCCTCGGGCATCTTAGCACATCTGAGTTTTCCCACTGAGCGTGGCCCCAGCAAGAGGAGGCCGACCAAAGGCACCAGGAGACTGGGGCCAGGGCAAGTGAGCAGCTGGGCTCCCCTCTGGGCCACACACGCCGCCGGTGTGGTGTCCCGGCTTCCCTGCCTCACCCCAAGCCTCTTCAGAGCCCGGGAAAGAAGCCTGTCAGACCCTGATGTCTGCTCAGACTGAGGGTACAGACAAGTGGCTTCATGCATGGAGATGGGCCTCTTCAAACCCAGCTGGGCCTGTGCTCACCCCAGCTCTTCTGTTATAGGTCCCCGTCCTTTACCTCCCAACCCCTCCAAGTGACCCAACTTCCCTCAAAGATAAAACCACTGCCTGGGCAGTCAGTCTCCAGCACTAGGCCCTAGCGGTCCCCACACCGCCTGGGAGCTATGAACAAGGACTGGGTCACCGGGCAGCGCTGGGCTAATCCGGAACTGAGCAAATAACACAGACGACTGATCAGACCAAGCCGACCTCAGTCCTACGAGTCACGTGTGCACGGATGACTTAAAGCAGCAGCTGGCTATCGAGAATTCCTGCTTCACTTGGGTGGCTAGTATGTAGCCCGTCAAAGTAACTTGGATCTCAGTAGTGATTTCATGGACCATGTCTATGTGTTTACAGCCCAGATATCCCCGTACGTCTCCAGCTAACTTCCCAGCACGGAAGTTTAGGTACTATCCCGGCACTATTAGCTCAGCCAACTCCCATTACACTAAGCCTAACACAGTTCATTAACAGGATAACCAGCTAGTCACAGAGGGATCTGGTCGATTCCCGACGCAGGCAGAGCTGTAGGGAAGTAACCGCGGAACTCCAAGTCCTCTTCAGCTTTAACTAGGGTTCAAGGCAGTTCTTCCTGCCCAGTTGGGAGGGTTAGGGCCAGCTGTGCATTCTAAAAGCAGATATTTGCATCGAGTGGGGACAACGCAAGACACAGGGTGCTGAGAGACTGACGGCAGCTGGGCCCGGGCCAGAGCAGAGATCACTTCCCGTGAGCCCTCATAGGGACCAATCTTCAGCTACTTTCATCCTGACCAGTCAGTACCGCCTCCCAGCCTCCCACTAAGCGCCGGTTCCCCATCTGCTCAGCACGTGTGATTCCCTGTAGGGTGGCCTTCAGGGACTCGTCCCGGGACTCTCCCCCCTTCACCCTGTGGCATTCTTTGGTGTCTGGAAGTGTGCGGGGATCCCTCTCATCTTGTAGTCACAGGAAGCAGGTTTCCTGTCATGAACTGCCCATGACCGGACTGGAGGGCCCGCCGCTCCCTGGGGTCTTTCTCTGCCCTCCACCTACAGAGGTAGGATTTCAGCCCTGGGACCTTCCCCCAGGTCTGCCAATATGAACCTTTTGCAAGCCAGCCAGGAGACAGAAGCAATGGGTCTTCGAAGAGAGGCATCTGCAGGGGGCATCCAGGGTTGGCCACCTGCATTTATGTGGGGAGGGGTGGCCCGGTGCTGGAGCCAGAGGGCTGCCGCCTGAGTATGGGGAGACCCTGAAAACGTCAGATGGCCTCGTACATTTGAGGAACTACACATTGCATGCTGCTGCGAGGAAGGGAAGTTCATGGGGTGGCCCATCTTGTGGGAGATTCAGGTCCACCCTCAACCACTGAGCCATGCAGCTGGGCCAATCCTGAAGTATTGTGGTTAACAATGAGCTGACATCCATTGGACATCCGAGTCCGTGTCAGCTCTGCCCAGAATTAAACCTCTGCGGCTTCTGAGCTTTAGATGTTGCCAGAACACCACTGAGAAAGCGAGTCTTCACTCCGCCCTTGGAATTAGCCTCTTCCCGCTGATTACTGTGGTGCAGTGACTAAGAGTCATTTGTTCAACCATCAGCACAAGCCGGGCAGAAACTGGGGCGTGGCTTATGTGCAGAAATCATGCCGCCCAGCCTTCGTCATCTCTACCCTGCAGGGCAGCCTCCCCCGAGGATCCAGGCTCTCAGGGCTGTAACCCTGCTGTGGCCGGCGCTGCACCATCCCCCAGTTTGGGGAATCCCTCCATAGGTCACAGACATACCAGCTTCCTGAGAACTAAGCTACAGCCAAGGTATTTAGGGTTTCAATGGGGCAGACATGCCCAGAATGAGACTCCAAACCTTGTTGAAAACTAAAACCAGATGCCAGCTGTTCCCAAAGGCATGTCACTGGTGCTGCCTGATCCATTCATGTTGGCAGCAGCGGCTGAGCTCACCCACCCCCACCCGCATCTCTGCCATCTCCCTTCAGACTATCGACTTGAGAATGAACATCACACACAGCTCCAGGTGTCTGCAGACAGAGGCCCTTCCTGTGCAGTCCCAGCAATGCCCTGGTAGGGCCTGGAGCCCAGCCCGTCAGGGACAAGGGGCCTGGGGCTCCTCAGGGCCCAGACGCCAGCTGGGGGCACCGAGGCAGAACGGGTCCTGGCCTCTGACTGCGCCTGGTCGGGGGAGTATTTCATGCCAGCGGGGCTGAGGAATTGTGCCCATAGCCCCAAGGGCACCACCAGAGCCAAGCAGCCCCCAAACACAACAAAAATGTTCCAGTGGCTAAAGGCATTTGAAGCCAGATCTGGAGGTGGGGTGGGGAGTGTCAGGGTCACTGAAGGAGGAATGCACAAGGTCCAAAGGGGTAAGGAATTACAAGTTTATGATTACATCTGCCAGCAGAAGGGCTGAGACCAAGATGGCATCAGCGGGGCCGAGGAGGGGGCGCGGGGAATTTATGTCCATTGTAAGGGTCAGTCAGAGAAACCAATCGGACCAGGTGCAGGTGGGGCCAGGTGTAGGCGGCCCCCTGGAAACGGTGAGGCAGTTAATCATGCCACCTACAAAGAGAATAACAGGACAATCACCAGGAGGGCCGAGAGTCCCAGGCAGAGCATAAAGGAGCATAAGAATGTGTCCACCAGGGAGTGGTTGCTCCATGGTCACCCCTTTGGGGAGTCTTTGGTGGGACACCTGCCTGTACTCTCACTTTGTGCCCTGGTTGGGGTTTTCCCAAAAGCAGGTGCCCAGAAGGGGTGGCAGACCTACAGGGCAAGTGCCTCTGCCACAGGGGATGTCCGCCAACTGCAATGTACGTAGGTGTCCTTCTCTCCGTGGGGCTCGGGGCCAGGACTGGGGCTCCGGATGGGAGGGTGACGAAGGTAAGACAGGCAAGCCCCTCTCTCTGACTTATGGGTTGAGTTGTGTCCCCCACAATGGCACAGTCAAGTCCCAATACACAAGACCTCAGAGTGGGGCCTTATGCAGAAACAGGGCTACTGCCAGTGTAATTAGTTAAAAAGAGGTCGTGCTGGAGTATGGTAGGCTTATTCCAACATGGCTGTTGTTGTTATAAAAGGGGGTGTGCGGGGTTTGTTCACAGACCCACTCAGTGAGAACATCATGTGAACATGGACCGAGATCGGGGTGATGCCCCAGGAGCTGGGGACACGGAGCCCACTCTTCCTCACAGCCTGCAGAAGGCGCCAACATGGCTGAAGCCTTGACCCGATGGCCAGCCTCCACCGGAGACGGTCGTTCCGGCCCCTCCGCTGTGGTACTCAGTTACCACAGCTCCAGCAAAGAAATCTTTCCAGCCACGCGCAGGTCTGGGCAACAACAGGCTCCACTTACAGGGAAACATGCGACCCCCTGGAGGGGGCAGACTCTATGCCTGGCCGGTTCCCTGGGCTGATCTACCAGTCAGATCACCTCCCCCCACTGAGCGAAGGAGAAACCAGTGTGTCCAGATGATCACTGTCCCGCCTCCATGGAAGCAACAGGCCAGAGCCCTCCTAGGCCCAAACACCTCGCCTGGCATCTTCTGCTCTCGCTGCAATGGCCCTCGTTCACCTTTTTAAAAGTCATTTCTTTTTTTCTTTTTCTTTTTTGATGTATCACCTTAGTCTTTATTCACAACTGCAGAAATGTGAGACTCTATAGATAGATATTGCTTAAATGATTCACAGACACAAGTAGTTTAATTTTCATTGTTCATTATTAACACTTCCTTTCCATTACTGATATTAGCTGGATAGGTCTTTTCAGTGAATCAAAGCAAAGAAATACAGTACCTGCAGTGTACAATCAATTGGATAACTTTGTGAAAAATATCTGATTTTCCTTCTCTACTTAGTACAAGCATGCAAAATGCATACAAAATGGAGCTGTTGTGTTTAAACTTTATCCTTTATCCCTGCACACACTGACTTTATAATTCTTATTTCAGCAGACAAAAAGAATGACAGCTTTAAGTTACTGACTGAAAAGAAAAGATCCTCTGCCGGAAGCCGGACCACCCTTGCTGCTTGGCAGTCGCTGCGGGGAAGAAACATCTGCCCAGCTTATGATTCAAGGGACCTGGCATATATGGCATACTGTCCTTAGTATGTTTGCTTCCCTTCTTAGCGCTATGTGTTCTAACCAAGGTCACCTCTCTGAGAAAGGTTGTTTCCCAGGGTGGGGATTTTTATCAGTAAAACCCCTTAAGTGCCAGGCAGGTAGTTAATCACTTTAACTATGAACAATCACACTTAAGCTACATAATCGTTACTCCCTGGAATGGAGATAACAAACGCCCTAACCTTTGGAAAAGAATGGATAGGATTAAGATCAACTGGTATAAATACAGATGTAGCAGGAGAAATAAATACAGAACCTGGCTAGAGACCCTGGCTAGACTGCTGATCAACTGAACACTGCAATGAGAAAGGTGAGATTTCGATGGAGAAAGTGAAAGTGAAATGTTATGTGTCAGGAAAGAGGCCAGACTATGCCTCTACGGAGTGCTCAGATGGGGAGGATGAAGAATTTCAGTTCATTAAGAAAGCCAGGGGAGAGGATGGCGGGGGCTGCGCCGGGCGCCATCATGGACGAGGAGTACTTAGTGAGCGTGGCCGAGCGGGGCGACGAGGTGGACGCGGCCAGCAGGAGGAGGAGTATGCCGACGGGGAGGATGATGCTGAGGTCCAGCAGGAGTGCCTCCACAAGTTTTCCACCCGGGACTACATAATGGAGCCCTCCATCTTCAACACTCTTAAGAGGTACTTTCAGGCAGGAGGGTCTCCAGAGAACGTGATCCAGCTCTTGTCAGAGAACTACACTGCTGTGGCCCAGACTGTCAACCTGCTGGCCGAGTGGCTCATTCAGACAGGCGTTGAACTCGTGCAGGTGCAGGAGACCGTGGAGAATCACTTGAAGAATTTATTGATCAAGCATTTTGACCCCCGCAAAGCAGACTCTATTTTTACTGAAGAAGGAGAGACCCCAGCTTGGCTTGAACAAATGATTGCTCATACCACATGGAGAGATCTTATCTACAAACTGGCCGAAGCCCATCCAGACTGTTTGATGCTTAACTTCACTGTTAAGCTTATTTCTGACGCAGGGTACCAAGGGGAGATAACCAGTGTGTCCACAGCCTGCCACAGCTGGAGGTGTCTTTTTTAGTGTTTATTCATAAAATAGTCGAAGTGCCAAAAACAGTCTCAAGAAAATGAACACAGCATCTCTACTATTTATTCAAACTATAGTTTGAAGTTTGAGTGACTAAAGAATGAGATCTTAAAAAAAAAGAGACCTTTTTCAGTCTCTCTGTAATGTGTGACTGGGGAGGGTGACAGTTAAATGTAAATGGACCCCTGACTTCAGAGTAGGGAGGGGCCTTTGCAGGGAGAGGTGGCCCATAGCAGATCACCCCACTGGCCAGGCATGTGCTCTGTGGGATTCACCAACGGGGTTGGGGGGTTTTCAGAACAAGCGAGTGAGCATCAACAAGGATGAGCTGAAGTCGACGTCGAAGGCAGTGGAAACCGTTCACAATCTGTGTTGTAATGAGAACAAAGGGGCCTCTGAACTGGTGGCCGAGCTGAGCACACTCTACCAGTGCATCGGGTTTCCAGTGGTGGCGATGGGTGTGCTGAAGTGGGTGGACTGGACCGTGTCAGAGCCACGGTACTTCCAGCTTCAGACTGACCACACCCCAGTGCACCTGGCGCTGCTGGATGAGATCAGCACCTGCCACCAGCTCCTGCACCCCCAGGTCCTGCAGCTGCTGGTGAAACTTTTTGAGATGGAGCACTCCCAGCTGGACGTGATGGAACAGCTCGAGTTGAAGAAGACCCTGTTGGACAGGATGGTACACCTGCTGAGTCGAGGTTATGTACTTCCTATTGTCAGTTACATCCGCAAGTGTCTGGAGAAGCTGGACACTGACATTTCTCTCATTCGCTATTTTGTAACCGAGGTGCTCGACGTCATAGCTCCGCCATACACCTCTAACTTCGTGCAGCTTTTCCTCCCCATCTTGGAAAACGACAGCGTCGCAGGCACCATTAAGACTGAAGGTGAACATGACCCTGTGACAGAATTTATAGCTCACTGCAAGTCCAACTTCATCCTGGTGAACTGACCCAGTACCCTCCGGAGCCGAAGCGAACATTCCAGACCGGGGGAAACGCCTTCCAGACCAAAGGGGCTCAGTCAGCACCTTGGAAATGAGTTCTTGGGTGAATGGCCTTTTAAAAAAGGAAGATGTGAGCAAGATAAGTGGAAAATTGCTGTTATGAGTGGTCCCCTCGCCTTGTCAGTTCTGTTCACAGTATTCTCGTCCCAGTAGGGCCTGTGTTCAGGTTACTTCTTGAGATGGGTGGTGGGAATTCAGAAGCTGAAACATTTAAATCAACTGCTTGCAAAGCTGACTTATATTTTCTCACAAGAACCTGATTAGTTTGTTTGTTTTAATTTCCCAAGGACAAATAAAAACTTTCCTGTTGGGAAAAAAAAAGAAAGAAAGGAAGCCAAAAACTCAGCGCCACTTGTGGGGCTGTGTGGGCTGCCGCAGGCAGCTGCGATGGAGTGCCGGGGGCCCAGCAAAGGCGCTGAGACATCAGGACCGGACCGCAGCTGGCGGTCACCATGGGCTTCACGGGGTTCGGGGAAAAAGCTCGTACATTTGATTTGGAAGCAATGTTTGAACAGACTCGAAGAACAGCTGTGGAAAGAAGTCGGAAAACACTGGAGGCAAGAGAAAAAGAGGAAGAAATGAACAGAGAGAAAGAATTAAGGCAAAATGAAGATATTGAACCTACATCTTCAGGCTCAGATGTGGCCAGAGATTGCTCTCAATCATCTTCCAGTGATACAAGCATTAGTGGAAGTGAAGAGAGTTCGGATTCCTCTGATGAGTTGATTGGCCCTCCTTTACCCCCTACCATGGCAGAAGAACCTGTTGATCGTATGGAGCAAGCTATTGGTCGTTTACCTCCACCCCTTCATGAGGAAGAGGTAGATGGTGATGATGATGATGGTGGTGATTCAGAAGAGGAAAATCCTGTTCAAAAGATCCCTGATTCTCATGAAATAACGCTAAAGCATGGCACGAAACAGTTTCTGCTTTGGGTCTGTACCCCTCAGCACTGGCCATTTGCATTTCCAGAGATTGGAAGTTCTCGACAGTCTGACCCTGACCTCTTCTGAGCTTTCCCCAATTGGATTCATCTCTTCCTAAACACCCCACAACCAACTCCCTCTATCCTCCCTCTGAGTACTAGAATAATTACTGGGGCCATGTAAGTTCTTTGGCAATTAATTATTTAATCTCTTCATATCTTGATTTATAAAATCAATCTTTTAGTGCTGTTTGGCTTTTCATTTTATTTTTTTTAATCTTCCTAAAAAGTCAATCTTCTTATGTTTTTGACTGTCAGGCATGTTGGGGACTTACAGGGAATAAACTCCTGCCTTACGAAGCTTGCTGTCTCCCAGAGCAGTGAGAGTGAACTACTGAGTTAGTGCGCTCAGCTTGCTTGTTTTCTCCCCTACGAGGTCCTTGGGAGATGGGAAGCCCCAAGATATGTTTGTTCAAAACTACAATATCATCTAACAAATACTGGTTACTTTTATTAATTGAATTTCAAATGATCATACCTGAGGAATTTTTTAAGGTATATACATGGCAAACTACTTGTAATTCTCCCGACATCCATATCATTATGTAAATTAAGCAACGGAGGCATAACAAAAATGTCTCTATTTACAAATGTGCTAGGAAAGTTGAGGTTCAGTGAGTTGCTACTTTGGTTGTGACCATCATAAATGAAAACTGAAAGGACGATGTTCAAGCACTGCTGAGACCTGTGTGCTTCACACAAGTCTGAAGAACTTGAGCCCCTCGCTCAAGACCCTGATTCTGGCGGGGGAGGGAGAAAAATCAGGTCGTGCCAGAGTTCCAGTCCGACTGTCATTCATTAACTGGGCACCTTGGAAGCCAGCGCCAAGGGCTTCTCAGCCTTTTCAGAAGTAGAGTGTGCACAGGGCAGACCGATAGGTTGTCATGCGTGTTATGTTCCTGACGTGGATGTTTCCCTTTGAACAGGTCGTGGCGGCCGGGTGGGAACCCACGGCGGCACCCTGTCCTCATACATCGTGAAGAACATTGCTTTGGATAAGACCGACGACAGCAATCCCCGGGAGGCCATCCTGCGCCACGCCAAGGCCGCGGAGGACAACCCGTACTGGGTTTCTCCGGCCTATTCCAAGACTCAGCCCAAAGCCATGTTTGCACAAGTTGAATCTGATGATGAGGAAGCAAAGAATGAGCCAGAATGGAAAAAACGTAAAATCTGAAGAATCTCATATGAGAGCTGTTTGCATGAAGGGGAGCATATTGAACAGGTTTTTTTTTTAATGCAATGAAAAATACATTTTAAAAAAAGAAAGCGAAAGAACAAGAAGCCCCATCACCTGTCCTCGGCCACCACCTGTGCTTAGTTAAGATGAGCTTGGACTAGAGGAAGGTGGCCTTAACCCGATACAGTTGTGTCTTTATAACAAAGGGGTTTGGCTTAGACACTCAGGGTCTCAGGCAGCAGGGAGAGGCAGGCATATGTGTCCATTTCACAGTTCATGGGAGGTGTGTTTTTTTTAACAATGAAAGTTTTATTTTTTTAAATTCAGTGAGGTAACTGGCTAACAACAAAGTCTAGTTTCCTTCTATTACCATACATTTGACCCCCTTTGCCCAACCACCCTCACCCTTCTACTCCCTTCCCCTCTGGTACCCACAATTTTGTCGTCTGTATTTAGGAATCTGTTTTGTTCATTTGTTATTTGCAACAACATGGGTGGGTCCAGAGGCTGTTATGCTAAACGGAATAAATCAGGTGGAAAAGGACAAAAACCGCCTAATTTCACTCACTGGAGCTCTTTGTGCAAAATGAAAAGAGGGGCAGAGGGTGGCAGTGACTGGGCCAGACCCTTGCCGCTCAGAGGGGAAAGGCGGGGAGGGGGGCAGCACAGAACACGGGCAGAGGGCCAAGTCTCTGAGGCCAAGTCTGCAGGTGACAGCAGTTAACCCTTACCCGGACCGGAGAGGGATCAGATAGCGCAGACTTAGCTGATGATGACTGGATGGTTTAAACCAACAGGTCAGAAACTTAAGGATGTGTTTCCCTGAACTGTTCAAACCAGCCCGAGGCTATGCAGTGGTAGCGTTCTCCTCCTGGAGGTCCAGCCCCTGGAGACAACCTCGAGTGGGAACGGAACTCAGGCGCAGGGTCTACAGCTTGCAGGGAGCTGAAGACCCTCACGGCACTGGTTACACCTGCCGCACAGTCACCTCTTTACAAAGCACAGCGCCCCCTCGTGGGACCTTGTTAAATACCATGTGTTTCCAATTGAGCAGCCCAAGGAGCCCAGGGTTGGAGATAGCTCACTTGTTCTCACATTGGAAGAATTTATACATCAGAGGTTAACGCTTTTGAATAGGTTTACTTTTTGTACTTTTATTGATTTCAGAGGAAGGGAGAGGGAGAGATAAAAACATCAATGAGAGAGAATCATTGATTGCTTGCTTCCTGCATGCCCCAAACTGGGGATCAAGCCCCCAACCTAGGCATATGCCTTGACTGGGAATCTGAATTGTGACCTCCCGGTTCATAGGTCAACGCTCAACCATGGAGCCAGGTCAGCTGGGCTCTTTGTATAGGTTTATATAGTCAGGCCAGGGTTTTGTTTTAATCCTCTGACAAAAGCATGGAGGACAAAAGCAATAGAGAGCTCTTGGGGTGATAGCCCAGTCCTAAATAGTCTGTCTCCCTTCTAGTAGGAAAGCCCAAAGCCCCACCCCAGCTTTTCAGGATCAGCAGGCGGTACCTTGCAGCTAAGTTAGCCCCATGCAACTTCACACCACCCCCCTCCATAGCTGAGTGGGCTAGGAGTGGAACCTTGATCCAACCTGGGACAGTTTCTGGGAGAGGAAGTGAGGGGGCACTCCTGGTGAAAGCTGGAGGAGATGGATGTGAGGTGGGTGTAAGGAAGTAGAGGTGGAGGGGATCTATTCCAGGGACACTTTGCAGGTGGTCCTTGAGTGTGGCTTATCTAAGCTTGTTTACAAACTCCAGGGAAGAACCCAGGAGAGAGACGAAGATTCCTAGAGGGGGAAGGGCCCTGTCCCTCCAGGACATGGAGTAGTTCAGACGGGAGCTGCCCGAGGAAGCAGCTCACCCGCCATGGCCATGCTTCCTGCTGCTCCTGGCACAGCCCTTTACCGACACTCTTAAACCAACAGGAAGGAGGAAGTCAAACGAACAGGAAGCCTGGACATGAAAACGTGAGGGTTGCAAGTGAGCAAGTAGAATTAAGTTCAGAACTCCTGTCCCATCCCTCCTTTCTCTCTGTTCCTCCCCGAAGCTTCTGAGAGCAGGAGCCTCACAGGCCTCCTGTATATTCCCCTTTAAGGAAAGGGAAACAGGGCTGAGGCTAAGCATGCTCAGGGCGAGGTGGATCCCCATAGATCCGCGTCCCCAGCCCTCATCTCACTGCAAAGCATCAGCAGAATTGACCAGAACCCATCTCCCTCTGCAAGGGGAGGCTGTAAGGCCTCCTACACACCTAAAACCAGTTCTAAGGGTTTCGACCAAGTTACCCAGTCTGCAACCCCTTTATCCAAAGCCAGCCTCTGACTTCTCAAGGAAGATCTGTTTGAGCTGTTGCCCGAACAGTACGTTTGTAAGCCACGCTAATTTACGCTTTGGAATTTAATGCAAATTCAGGTGTTGCTCTTGGTCATTCCCTCTAGGACACGTTTCAGCAAATTCATTCTGCTCACTTGGTGGGTCCTTCACTAAGTGTTGAAAACACCTGGTCCCTGTTCCCATTGCTGTTTCCCAGGTGGTGGACAAGGAGGCTGATCAATCCAGCAGGCATGGGAGTGAATGTGGAACAAATACTACTTGAGAATTCAATTGAAGAGACTGGCTTTCAACACTCCCACCAAGGTGCCAGGGAGGCAGCTGGTTATAGAAGTGTACAGGTTTACACAGGCAGGTCAGGGTTTTGTTTTAACAAAGCATGGAGGGCAAAAGACGTAGAGAAGTGCCTGTGCTGACATGTAGAGCAGTGAATCGCTGGGATAGAGACCTTTCAGGGTCCACATTGAAGTCTGAGGGCACCCTCTGTTAGGGATCTACCAGGCATGTATCTAAAATGCAAAGTGCCCCCTCGGGAGTTAGAACAGGAGACCGAGTTCAATTGCTCACTATGATATGCACTGATGACCAGGGGCAGCGTGGAATGATGGCCCCGGACAGCCCTGATTACCAGCCAGCCCTAGGTACCCTAC